ACAAGCTGCATCTGACTATGTCAGATGAGCTAACAAAATAAGAAATTTATGGATTTGAAGATGAGGAGAAGTACATGTAATGTATTATATTTCATTCGTACTTTCACAGGGTTTTTAGGTGGAAAAGCACAGACACTAGTGGCCATAAACAATGTGATTTCTATAGGGGCTTCACGGCCAGTATAACTGTTGAGCCGTGCTTAACGAGTGCATAAACACTATTTTGGGTGAGTTAAATAAAACTTTTACTGGCCCATAATGGAAATTGTATTTTTATACATTTACTATAAGTAATTATAAATTATATTTAATCTGAACCAACCCCTATACGTTACTGACGGCTGGTACAGATCCAGAGTTTACTATGATACTGATTCGGGTGTAATAGCACAGTTAGTCTACAAGATCAATCTAATACAACGTTCAACGTCCCTCCAAATTACACACACTGAAGAGTAGACACCTCACCCTCCACGATGGCCTACTGCAGTCCACTGAAGTAATAGTCCTTACATTACCTACTCTCACCTCCTTTGGTTCATAAAATAGTAAGCTTTAAAAAAAACTACAAGTTTGCATTGTACACAGCTAAATTCGGTCCTGATTGATGTTAGGTTTATCTTCAAGTCTATATTATGCTTATTTTAAAAATTTGTTGATCAAACATCATTGACAGATGTGTGAACATTGTACGACTCTATCTGTGCTTCAGGTAGTAGGCCCGCGGTAGTAGCCGTCAACAAATGAAGTGCATTCTAACACTCAATTGTGTTGCACCTTTCTGGTGTAATGAATTCATATGATATTTAAATAATGCACTCACACCCATAAGATAAGTATATATTACATTTCATTGGAAAGTTTAAGACGTTCAAGGCACAATAGTCCTTATACGAATTACTAGTCCATAGCAAAGGAGCTCAGAGATTGCCATTTTATTTGTCAGCTCATACCTAGTGCAGGTTTTTTAAACAAAATTCTATGTTCTTAATATCATTTGCTGCTTGAGATCTAAACCAGTGCCTGAGACAGCCAGTTGCCATGTCATCATTCCTAACTGATCACATTTGGGCAGCCACACATTTATAAAAAACAGGGATGGTTATTGGCCAAAAATGTGAGTATTGGGCAAGTAAATACCTCTACCTTGAACAATAGACATTGCTATATACAGGTCTAATTTCGCGCACTGTATATATATCTCTAACACATGAATGAAGTGATAATTAAGAAAATTATATTGTCATATGTCAAGTATTTTGTTTGCATCATAATTTTGAAACTTTGAAACTTAACTATTCGACATTGTAACACGAACCCAAGGGAATGAAGAGAGTGACGCCGTGGAGTACCGACCACAGTATCTGCATTCACGGGTGGAAATTAAAGATCCGAGAGCACACACCATGTTATTCGACAATTATATAACCAACGTATACTATTTTATACTAACACATAATTTAAACCAGCTGTCTGCCTATTGTGAGTATTGATTATGAATTCAGCTTTTAAACTTTTCATGCTAATTCTACATTAGTTCTACTTAGTTCGAGTTATATCGATCATCACCTGCACCAGTGTTGATTTCCCACTTCCTGCCATTCCTAGCACGAGAATGCAGATAGGCGTCTCTGCAGTACCCGCGGCTATCACTTCATTGACATTGCTGCCAACAGGCAATGCTGCTCCTGCACCTGGTGTGTCTGTGGAGATTGGAGTCGGCAGAGATACCGAGCTCGAAGGAACATTATGTAATTCGCCAGGCAAAGAACCTTCAGTGTCACTTTTAGTTTTACTTACAGCAGAACTTGTCATTTTGAGTATGACTACCACGGTCCAGTACAGTCAGTTGACTTGACCGAGTCGTACAGTACCGGTACTAACTAAAATCAATATTACTTTAAGAACTATGGTAAAACTACAGAATAATGTCCAATCATGAGCAGATGACAGGACGATGCGACACTACGCAGTCAAGTAGACAGAATTATAATGCTGGAATTAGTGCCTTCTGTGTTTTTAGCGTGCAGCTATGATCTCCGGGGATACATTCACCGTTTGTGAAATAGGCGCTGACATTTTCTACTGCAGTGCCACCAGCCGTGACAATATAGAGACACCTAGACTTTTGGGTTTGAATACTACTTAATTAAACATCATTTTATACTACTTTTTACCATGGTATTGTTAAAATAAAAACAATTAAAAGTATTTTTTACTTTATTAAATTATTTTCATTCTTTACGTCGTGATCTTTACCTATCATCAAATAATTTATTTAACGATTTACAAGACCATGTGCGTTTCTATAGAGGGCGTACGTGTGCGACGGGCGTTGACTGTTCGGTGACCGTGATCGAAAAATCTTCAGTCGTGAAAATTTTGGCCGTTTTATACAAACATCAAATGTTCTAGTGCAGTTATCCGCTATTTCTTATGGTTTAAGTAGCGCTATACATAGCGTTCTCGTAATAGAACGGTACTAAAGATCATAGATTACAAATTATTGTATTTCGGCACGTCGGTCCATCTCGCCACCCGGTTTCAAAATGGCGTCGAAAAAGATGAAGAATGCGGACGAAGATTATGGTCGTGAGGATAGCTACCGCGTCGCCATCACTCCTCATGGAGCCGACGGTAAAGTACCAGGAGGGAAACCACAGTCCCGTAGAAAGAAGCCAGCTAAGAAATCAAAAAAGCAGGAGAAAGAAAATCTCGATGAGCTCAAGAAGGAGTTGGATATGGATGAGCACCAGATCCCGATGGAAGAGCTGTTTGACAGGTTAGGCGCAGATCTACACAGAGGGCATACAACGCAGCGAGCGCAGGAGATCACGGAGAGAGATGGTCCAAATTCACTGACTCCACCTAAGAGAACACCAGAATGGGTAAAATTCTGCTCGCAGCTATTTGGAGGGTTCTCGACGTTGCTGTGGATAGGTGCCATTCTATGTTACGTTGCCTATTCTATACAGGTTGGCACGGAGGAAGATCCGCAAGCCGACAATTTATACCTAGGTATTGTGCTGACAGCTGTTGTAGTTGTTACTGGATGTTTCTCCTACTACCAAGAAGCGAAGAGTTCGAAGATCATGGAATCTTTCAAGGACATGGTTCCTCAGTATGCTCTGGTAATAAGAGATGGTGAGAAGAGGACAATGCGAGCTGAGGAACTGGTTGTTGGTGACATCGTGGAGGTCAAGTTTGGTGACAGGGTGCCAGCTGACATTCGTGTCATATCTGCGCATGGTTTCAAGGTCGACAACTCTTCACTGACTGGAGAATCTGAGGCACAGTCCAGAGGACCTGACTGCAGCAACCCGAACCCATTAGAAACGCGCAACATTGCGTTCTTCTCTACCAATGCTGTTGAGGGAGTCTGCACCGGAATCGTCATCAACACCGGCGACCGCACCGTCATGGGTCGCATTGCCAACTTGGCTTCTGGGCTCGACACGGGCGAGACACCCATCGCCAAAGAGATTGCGCATTTCATCCACATCATCACCGGCGTTGCAGTCTTTCTCGGCGTTAGCTTCTTCGTCATCGCCTTCATCCTCGGCTACTTCTGGCTCGACGCCGTCATCTTCCTGATCGGCATCATCGTCGCGAACGTACCCGAGGGTCTGCTGGCCACCGTCACCGTCTGTCTGACGCTGACGGCCAAGCGCATGGCGTCCAAGAACTGCCTCGTCAAGAACCTGGAGGCTGTCGAGACGCTGGGCTCCACGTCGACCATCTGCTCGGACAAGACCGGCACGCTGACGCAGAACCGCATGACCGTCGCTCACATGTGGTTTGACAACCAGATCTGGGAGGCGGACACGTCGGAGGACCAGACTGGCCAGACGTTCGACAAGGAGGCGCAGGGATGGAAGGTTCTGTCACGCTGCGCCGGCCTGTGCAACCGCGCCGAGTTCAAACCGGACCAGAACGACCTGCCGATTCTAAAGCGCGAGTGCACGGGCGACGCGTCTGAGTCGGCTCTCATGAAGTGCGTCGAGCTGTCCATCGGCAATGTCGCCGCGATGCGCAAGACGATGACGAAGGCCTGCGAGATTCCGTTCAACTCGACGAACAAGTACCAGGTGTCGATCCACGAGACAGCCGACGACCCGCAGCACGACCACATCCTCGTGATGAAGGGCGCGCCTGAGCGCATCTTCGACCGCTGCGCGACGATCTACGTCGACGGGCAGGAGCAGCCGATCAGCGACGACTGGAAGAACGCATTCAACAACGCCTACCTGGAGCTGGGCGGCCTCGGCGAGCGCGTGCTAGGCTTCTGCGACCTTGCGTTGCCCGCCGGCGAGTTTCCGAAGGGTTACCCGTTCGATGCCGACGATGCGAACTTCCCCCTCGACAACCTGCGCTTCATTGGGCTGATGGCGATGATCGACCCGCCGCGCGCCGCCGTCCCCGACGCCGTCGCCAAGTGCCGCAGCGCGGGCATCAAGGTGATCATGGTCACAGGCGACCACCCGATCACTGCACAGGCCATTGCGAAGAGTGTCGGCATCATCTCGGAGGGCAATGAGACGGTCGAGGACATCGCGGCGCGTCTCGGCATCTCGCCGGACGACGTGAACCCGCGGGACGCGAAGGCGTGCGTCGTGCACGGCGTCGATCTCAAGGACATGACACCGGCGCAGATCGACGACATCCTCAAGCACCACACGGAGATCGTGTTCGCGCGCACCTCGCCGCAGCAGAAGCTCATCATCGTCGAGGGCTGCCAGCGGCAGGGCGCCATCGTCGCCGTGACGGGCGACGGCGTAAACGACTCGCCCGCGCTGAAGAAGGCCGACATCGGCGTCGCGATGGGCATCGCCGGCAGCGACGTCAGCAAGCAGGCTGCTGACATGATCCTGCTCGACGACAACTTTGCGTCGATCGTGACCGGCGTCGAGGAGGGCCGCCTCATCTTCGACAACCTGAAGAAGTCGATCGCGTACACGCTGACGAGCAACATCCCAGAGATCTCGCCGTTCCTGTTCTTCATTCTCGCCGACATCCCGCTGCCGCTCGGCACGATCACGATCCTGTGCATCGACCTCGGCACCGACCTCGTGCCGGCGATCTCGCTGGCGTACGAGGAGGCGGAGAGCGACATCATGAAGCGGCAGCCACGCGACCCGGTACACGACAAGCTGGTCAACGAGCGTCTGATCTCGATTGCGTACGGACAGATCGGCATGATGCAGGCGTCTGCTGGGTTCTTCGTCTACTTTGTCATCATGGGCGCAAACGGATTCCGTGTCGATCGTCTCGTCGGCCTGCGTGCGGAGTGGGACTCTAGGGCACTGAACAACCTCGAGGACTCCTACGGCCAGCAGTGGACCTACTCCAACCGCAAGATTCTGGAGTACACTTGCCACACAGCCTTCTTCATCTCGATCGTCATCGTGCAGTGGGCGGACTTGATCATCTGCAAGACCCGTCGCAACAGCATCCTGCAGCAGGGCATGAAGAACTGGACGCTCAACTTTGGCCTCTTCTTCGAGACGTGCCTTGCCGCTTTCCTCTGCTACTGCCCTGGCCTCGACAAGGGCCTGCGCATGTACCCTCTCGAGTTCTACTGGTGGCTACCCGCATTCCCCTTCAGCATTGTCATTTTCATCTACGATGAGAGTCGGCGTTTCCTCCTGCGTCGCAATCCAGGAGGGTGGGTGGAGAGGGAAACTTACTACTAGAAGGATCGCGCCGTGTGGTCATATGGCAGCAGCCGTCGGCGTTGTGGTACGTTTAGAATTGCATTGGTTTTGCACAAAGGTTTTAATTGACCGTTTAACTTTGTTCGGCCATAGCACTGTTAGGGTATTAGGGGACTTTTTAGGCAGCGGTATATATACCCATTTCCATCGTAAAATCGTAACAACACAGATCTGACCATGTACTCGGGGTGGGGGGAGGTTGGCTTCATATCACTGAGCCCTTGCAAGCTGGTATTGATTATTTGTTGAATCTGAGACAGCCAGTAGCCACACATGTAGTACTTAGTGGGACATGGTCTCCCCCCTGGAATATAATATAATTTAAATCTAGCAGTACATAATTCTGTTAAGAACAGTTGTTTGTAGATACAAGTTTACTGGTTAATTCTTAGTTAGTGTTGTTAACGTCTTACAGTTAGTTGGAGAGGCACTTTCACAAGACAGTAATCATGGGTACAGTTATAACATGTAATTTTATTGTTTGATTGATTTATGTTTATTCAACTGTTGATGAAAAGGTGAACGAATGAGCGAGCTGCTCCTCTTGGTGGGGACATATTATATACATATATATTATGCTTCCGCTGTAGAACCGTCTGGTTGTGATGTGTGCGCAACTTTGTTGGCAAGGCTGAGAGGTCATCAGTAGCAGTTTAAAAGTTACGTGTGCGCGCACACGTTGCACAGGAGTGGCTCTGCTATTGGTAAGCAATCGTGTTTGTATGAAAATGCAGTTATATATGCTGTTTGGGTAATGGGTTTAGCTTTTTAGGGGTATTTTAGATTTTATTTTTGACGTGTTCTTGTTAAATCGAGTTACAGGGAACGTGCGCATGCTTACATGGTTCTTCTGATTCTTGCTCTGCTCCCATAAACGAAATGTATCGCATTTTATTTGTAGTGGTTATTCTCATTTGCAAACAAGCCAAGTAAGCATATATATATATACAAGTAAGGCGGATAGCATAGCATACATTAGAATAATTGTTGATGTGCAGTTTTTTACTGGCTTCCTTCCCCTGAACCCTGTGCAGCTGTAAAAATAGTGTATACCTCGCTTTAATTCATGCCATATTAGAGCCGTGGCATCCAACATGCAAGTTGCATGTTGCCTTGTAGTTATCTTATATTGTTGTCACTCACTAAAGTAACCAAGCACAGCTTTCCAATGTTCCCAGTTGGCTAGCAATATTCAGGTGAATCTTCGATGTGTGGTTTAGCGTAACAAAAGCTGTGTTTTGATTACCACTTGTTATGAAGAAGCTTAAGGGTAGCCAGCCGAAGGAGCGCTGACGCCACCATACCGCTCAGCAGCACGAGTACTGAGACCTATTTGAGATGTTGGGGGCTACACGTGATATGTGCATGTGTGTGTGTTGATGTGTGTGTGTGTGTGTGTGCGTGTGCGTGTGCGTGTGCGTGTGTGTATGTGCTTGCCTATGTGCGCATGTGCGTGCATGCATGTCACCCGTTGTGCAAGTGTGACTGTGAGTGCATCTGTGTATGTGCACGCGTGCGTGTGCGTGCATGTAATCGAACGTGATGCTCATCCGCGTTATGTGGTATTGCCATGCTGAGCCGTGCATTGTGTGGTAATCCAATGCTGATCTGCATATTGTATGGTTATGAGTATACGGTTCTAGCATTCCTGTGTGCTGAGAAATGCGCAGTACCCGCACTTGCTTTGTCAAGGTATTTTAGTCGGAGCAGTAACCGATTATTTCTATATCAATAATAAGAGATCTGCAGTAAAGAATTGCTGTAATATTATACTGTTCTCCACCCAGGGTGGCAGATTTCCTAATTTTATGCACAGTAATTGAATTTATGTGGTGTAGTACAAAAAACGTAAAATGCACCAGGTCATCATAGGTGACTTAACACTAGCATAGATGAAGTTCGGTAAATCATGTTATCTGTCAAAGTCGGTGTGCAAAGCAGGGTATACAGTAGTTGGGCATCGGAGTTATAAATTGTTAAATTGATGGAATTGTCAAAATGATTGATTTGTAGGCCAGGCTAGGGTATGAAATGTATAAATCATTGATCCGTTTAGGAAAATTAAGCCTGGGATATGTGTAGCCTAGCACGTTCGCAGTAGGTTTGTACAGCCTCTGAGGGACCACCGTGTTTGCAGTGCACCGTACAATCGTGTAACCTGCACTTGCTGTTCCATGTACACCGACCCTGCCAGTAGTTATCAAAGCTCCAAGTCAAAGTTCCTGTACATATCTGCATGTGGATTGTTTGAGGGACAGCCCAGGATCTTTTATTGTTATGCCAAATTTGACACGGAGGGTTGATAAGGCTGGAATTGCTTGTGTCTTGTAGTTAATCGTGTATGTAGACTTGTCTCAGTTTAAAAGTTGCAATACCTTGTGTAGTTTTATCATTATATCTTTAAACTCATTGTTTGAAATATCCGTGTTTTTTTCAAGTTGATTGTAATACTTATCGTCATCAGGAGCGTATAATGACAAATACTTTATCATTATATGCTCCTGCGTCATGTAATGCTCCTAACCATGTTATTTGTTGCGGTGGAGTTTTTCTGTTGAAAAGTTTGTCCGCTCGTAACTGGTTCGTGTGATTCCATGGGGCACTAGTACTACTGTTTCTGTTTCGGGGCGTTGAATGCATCATTCAGAGAGTTGAGTGTATGTCACGGCTCATCTTTCCACTTAAAAGCGTTTGCTGGTGTGTTTTTTGCCGTGCCGCTTGATCTTAATTTAGAACGTATACAGTATACGAACACTTGTGCCGTGTCACGTCGCTTCCCCGTTTCGGAGCATAGTCGTGTTCAGCTGCCCTGCCCGCTGCGTGGCCTCATCTCGTAAAGATCTACATTTATATCACACACTGCCTGCATGACTCGAACCCGGCGTGCTGCGGCGTACGTAGACGCGGGCGTGGCTTCTCAAGCTCGCTGAGTTTCTGTTCTGTGTTTGTTATTAGGGACGTCGTTGCTTATCATCGACGTTCTGCTAGGCACCGCCAGCCAGCGCCCGCCCGCCACGCAGGTCTGTCACTCACTCACGCGTGCGCACGCGCAAGACTATCTGCATGGCGGGCGGGCTGGCAGGCGGGCCAGACTTCTTGAATCTCAATTCACGCTGCATGCTCACCGTTACGATGATATTTACTCACATTTTCACAAACGTGTCCGGTTTGTTGATTTTTATAGTGTTTCAGCACACGAACAATCTGAAGGTGCAAGTCTCTGTATTGCTTTTATAGTGTCAAGAAATGGATTTATGATAGCACGTCGCTGGTATTGTTAATGACTGGGCCGATCACGAAGCTCATGTTGGTGATATTTAATGATGATGATAGTTAACTGACACATTTATGGTTTCATTTAAATTATAGATGTTAGTCTCCTTAGATGAGATTTAAATTTTATCAGAATATGTTTGTTTTTATAATCATTTGGAACACTGATTGTACATGTGTAACATTTTGTTGCATGTAACGAAATGGAATACGAAATACTCAACGCGGTTTACATAGAAGCCGTTCCAAACTGTGAATCTCATTAATATTTTTTGTCAGAATCTTTGCCACAGACAGTTGCTTATCAACGCTGTTAATTACTCAACTATAGAAAAAATATGTTTTTATTAATTTCTGGAATTACTCACATTCCGTCGTCGGCGTCTGTGCACGTTAACTACAGTGAACTGTATCGGAGGCGTTCTATGTTCCAACTTTACAGTAATTGTAGAAGCGAGATGTTGTTACGAATGCCGCAAGATAGTGTTGTATTCAGCACTATCCAGCTTGTTTACATTTCTAGTTTAATTTGATTTTTACTGTACTGACAGTATAATGGCAATAAAGGTCATCATTCTTCATCTTGATCACTACTTTAATGTATGTCGTCTGCGCTTGTCATACATACGGTCACACAACAAACGGTTACTGGGAATAAACGTTCAGTACTGGTGCAGCAGGTTGTACTAACTCGAGAAGAAGGGCTATATCTGGAGGGAAATGGAGCGGAAGGCGACCAACCGAGCGACATTGAGGTGGTTAATAAATGACCTATGCCGTCCAGGAGACTGAAGGCTTACAGAGAGAGACTGGTGCAGTGGCAGTGATGCACGCAATTTTGAGCTGAGTTTGTATTGTTTGTTATATTTGCCTTTATTTTTACTGTTTTTTTATGGTTCCTCCACAGGGCACGCAATTTATAGGCATACTGAACACGCATACTGGGAACGAAACGTGTATCGTCAAGGTTGCTGCACGTCTACAATAGACATGTCACGCCGGATGCTTTGCAAATATGTAGAATGCTTTTCAAGGCAGGATAGCGTGAGCCGTGACTCGCATCCTGTCGCTGTGGTCTGCAGTTTTTATCAAAGGCCATACTATTGCAGCAACGTACATGTACCACTTACATATTTTACCGAGACGTGCTTGGGATTTTCTTTGAAAACCTACATTTGCTGAAAGATCAGTGAGTGTAGAACATAACTACACACTTTGACGTGGTGGTTGAACAAGGGGCATAATCGTAGACTAGTTCGCCGTCTTTTTTTACAGTTACAATACTTCGTACAATATCGATAGCCGAAATGTCAGTCACGCCCCGAGGAAATGCCAACCTTCGACAGTGAAAATAATATAAGGTTTATTAGAAAATATCGAGTACCAAAATTCCATGGGGTGTGTTGCAATAGAAATCAATCTTTTCCTGCGTATGAGAACCGTATTTGATATAAATATTATGTTGTGGTTCAAACCCTATCTAACATGTAACAAACGATGACAATTTTACACTGCCATCGTTAGTAACAACATCATTGCGCTTCCTTCGGTACAGTGCGATACATTTACTTGCGCTGGTATTTCCGGTTTAGGACCAGATATTCTTCCGTCTTCCCACTCTTCGACGCGAGTTTAGACGGATTCCAACGTCCCCGTAGGTGCCCCACAGCAATAATTTGCAGTAATAATGTTTCTGGAGCATTAGAAATGTGGAGCAATCAGAAATTCTTTAAACAAGTCATGGGCTAGTGTTCACTTCAAGTTCAACCACTGTTAAGTCGAGACTCCAGCCGAGGTACGGTCAAATAAATAATATTGTAATATAATAAGTTATAACCTCATAAAGATATATAAAAGATTAGTCTTCAAAGTCCAGTAGACTATATATCGAAGAATGAGAGATACAAAGTTGATAAAATAAACAGATGAACTCCACGGTTTGCAGTAGAAAACAGTAGAGCTCAGAAGTACAGTAATTTAGTATAAATTTGAATAATATTACGACATGCAACGCGCAGGCGCATAATACTATTAATAGCTAATATAATTCTACTTTAGGTAGTCGACTACACCTACTACCTAACCTTAACGCTAACCCTAACCCTAACACTGACACGAACGCTAACCCTAACACAAACCATTGACTGACTCAATTTCTTATATAGGTAATATATCTTACAAAAACAATCTGTGGTGTTTAACGAAATACGCAACGCATGCGCATGCGCGTTGCATGTCGTAAGAATAGTCCAAAAATAATTCTTACGACTCGTCGTAAGAATAGCCACTTCCTATTGTATAACTATAATAAAATAATATTGTTATGCGTATATATGTTGCAAATCCAATACAGCAGGGCATTGTTCTCACAGCCGTCTCGGGATACAGTACAACTCGACTCCATGCAGTAGAGGAAATGTACCTACGACTAGAGACTAGAGTGCAAAGAAGAAAGGGTTGCATTCATGTAAATTTCAGGTTTGGGTTGGGTGTCTCGTTCTCATACATTTATATTTTATGCATCATCATCAATTATCGTCATCAGCTTGCTCACGCCGTCATAGTTGTAGCCATCAATTCATCGTCTCATCAATTCAATCATGTCATCATTTGAAGACTAATCTTTATGAGGTTGTGGGGTTATTTCGTGCCTCTAAGTTGAACCCAGTAGGAGCTTTAGCCCACTAGCATTAGGTGCATTACAGAACCAGGTGTGCCATAGATATTATATATATGATAGATATATATGATATCGTTCTCGTAGCTAGGTTCCCCCATACACACACATGCACGTGCGCTCTGGCACGCACACATGCACACACACACTTATACTCAATGGTTTATTCTAACACTAAAATGATGGTAAATACATAGAAATTGTATTTACTATGAAATATGAACTTTCTATTGCCTAGTAATTCCACGTCAACGCTATTTAAATACTCATTTACCAGTTACACACAAGTTCACTGCATGTACACGACTATGCACAAACTCACAGAAAGATAGATCGCATTATTTGAAGGACATGTACGGGAAAGTATTATGCAATAAATAGTGCATAAACATGAAGATATTGGTAGTAAATGCAATTTGTGTTTATTTACCATCATTTTATTATTGAAATGGCCCAACTGCTCGTGCAAAAATAAGCACATGCAATCTATTATCGGGTGTAAGGGTGGGCGCTGCAACTGTATGTAATGTATGTACTACATTGTACTACATTGTACTACATTACATGTATGTACTACTATATAGCTGCGTTCACACGAGGAGAAAAGTTGCGTTCACACGCTAAAATATACGCGGCTTGCTTATAGCCGCGATGCTCTGATTATAGCCGCGATGCTCTTGATTATAGCCGCGAATGCTACGGCTTGCTAAGCGCGGAATCATATTCCGCGCCAACTAAGCCGCGTATATTCGGCACCACGCTGGCCGCGTATTGATTGTCGTGTGAACCTAGACTGCTACCCGTTCGCTGCACGACGTTAGGGTAGCGTGTGGAACTGTCGACCGGGTACCAGTCTATATTATACCGCGCTAGCTAAGCCTCGAATCTCGTGTATCTCGTGTGAACGCATTTTAACCGGACTTAGCACCAACTAAGTACGGTACCAGCTAAGCCGTGTATACGTGTGAACGCAGCTTATGTAATGTAAACTATTGAGATAGTCACGTATAATATGGGGTAAATTTCATCCTGCACCCAATGATAGAATCGTGCAATAGCAGCAATACGTGGCAATTTATTTGAGTTAGGGTTGTATGGCTCTAGCACGTACTATAGGATACATTACAGAGCAGCAAAGGTTATATATAGTTAGATTAGGGTAATAGGGTTAGAGGATGATATTGTGGAAAGGCTCAGGATTCGGCCTCGTGGAGGTGATGACTAGCGTACTGTACCCCAATCTTTTGATTGACGGTCAAGCAAGGTCATGCACCTGCTTTACTACACCATACTACTTGTGCAGCATTTAGCCTTGGTCTACCAGTCTAGACAGCAGGGTGGAACGAAGAGTTTTGCTGGTTCTCTAGCAAGTTTACCTGTGACTTTAATCGCTGATCAAATTATTATAGCGCTCGTTTACTTTTGTTTTATTGATGGGTATCGTAATACGTATGAATTATTTATATGTGCAGTGAAGCTACATTACTATAGCAGCCTGTTTAAGTTTACGAGTAGCGTTTTTTGGTTTAATTTATGGTTCAAAATAATTCAATCATTATAGCATGT